AAAAAAATAAAAAAATAAACCTAATGATTCATTTATTTATAAATATTAAATGGGTACGTTTAATTTGTTCATTTTTTGGGCCAATTGCCAAGAGTGTATCCGGCTTTCATTTATAAATACAAAGTCTGCCAAGATTGAATTGAAACACCAACTGCAAACTATTCTTGTACAAAAAAAATATAATACTAACATAAATATAGATAACGTATAATATATATATATAATATTTTGTACAAAAAAATAAAACCGGACAAACGGGACGGTTCGGAAAAAATATTAAAAACCGATACCGACATTGTTTCAAACGGTTCGGTACCGGGAACGGTAGGAAAATTTTAAAAACCGATTGGAACCCTAATTTTCAGAATGGGACCATTTCGGTCCGGTTCGGGATTGGGAAATCCGGTTTTTTTGCCCACCCCTAAGGGCATCATTTTCCCCAAGACCGGCGGCGGGAGCGGGCTGCGGCTCATGGTTTTCAGCGGTCAAGTAGAGTTTGGAGCATTCCAAAAACTTAGGGATCCAACTACAAGAAGACAGCCACAGAGACCGACTTTTCTGCTCTGCCTACTTTTAATTTTTAAATGTCAAGTATCTAAGAATTGACCCAAAAGAGTTATTTTGGTAGAAAGAAAGACTTTTTGCATAATTTGAATCTGAGATGCTTGATTCCTTTTTGAAGCTAAAAGTGAACAATTTCTTTATGCTTGTTCCTGAAACTGGTTCATTTGTTCTTGAATAGCTTCTTTCAAAAGTGCTTCCGCTTCCTCAATAAATGTCTTAGTCGAAGATATATTTTCTCGGAACTCGGGTTTATTATTTTTGAAGTACGTAATTCACTAAGAAATTTCCCTACATACTTTCAGAGCGCCAGAGCTAGAAGCGGCGGCCATAAAATGGAGAATTCCCATCCATTTGTTGTCTCGTTCGCGCTCAGGGGTCAGAAAATGACTCCTACTTCAGGCATGATTCGGTGTTTTTAGCTATTCCCTGGTCCTCCAAAGGGTTTGATAGAATCCAGGTAGAAAAGCGAGTATAGGTGCTCTTTCTCTTGGCAAATTGAAAGAAGCTAAAGGAGAACATGGCGAATTGGAAGGAAACTATCTGCAGACTAACTAGTATGATCCCGAGAGAAAATATTTTGATTGCAAAATTCTCGATTTTGATCTTAGACAAAAAATCGACATTAGGGATTAAAATATTCAAATTCTTACTAAGAATTTGAAAAGAATTTCTCAAACTAAAAAAGATGTTTGTTTTATGATTCAAAAAAAAAAAAAA